CAATGTATCACTTTATCAGAGAATGCATTGCTAAAAAGGAGGCTGAGCTCAAACATATGAAATTTTATGATCAAGTTACAGATATCTTTACAAAGCCTCTCAAGTTTGAAAATTTTCAAAAATTGAGATCAAGATTTAGAATGAAAAAAAATCAAAATTAAGATAGAGATTTGTGGAAGCCATTTAAATTTTTAAAAAAAGACTAAAAGTTGAGGACGACTGAAACAAGTTGTGCAAGTTGCAAATGCAAATTGCAAAGAGGCAAATCAGATTTAACAGAACCAGATCGATGCAAACTTGAAACCAATCCTTTTAATTGGTTTATTACGACGACAACTCACTCTATAAACATGAGTCTCGTTTCTTCATTTCAATCACACTAAAATGAGAGAAACACTAGAGCTATGAGAGTAATCCATACTCTTTTTTATAGTTCATGTGAGAATAGAGTGACAATAATATTGTAGTAAGATATCTAAAATAAAGAGTGCTATTTTTTTTGAAGGTGTAGTAGTTTCTTGACACTACTAAGTTGTAATAAGTAGTATTATATTACTCTGCTCAGGTATTGTATGTTACCAGTTAAAAGATTTGGTGTCGTTATTATCCTCTTGTGTTAATATTGTTTACTATAAGTATTATTCCTGCACGGGATATTATTTTTTTCCAACACACTCATCTAAACTCTGTCTATGAAGTCTACAACAACACAACAATAACCCAGTATAATCCCATTAGTGGGGTCTGGGAAGGGTAGTGTGTACGCAGACCTTACCCCTACCCTGGGATAGAGAGGCTGTTTCCGATAGACTCATCTAAGCTCTGTCTATGAAGTCTACAACACACTCATCTAAACTCTGTCTATGAAGTCTACAACAACACAACAACAACCCAGTATAATCCCACTAGTGGGGTATGAGGAGGGTAGTGTGTACACAGACCTTACCTCTACCCTGGGGTAGAAAGGCTGTTTCCGATAGACCCTCGGCTCCCTCCCTCCAAGAACTCCCCACCTTTCTCTTGGAGTGACTCGAACTCACAATCTTTTAGTTGGAAGTGGAGGGTGCTTACCACTAGAGCAACCCACTCTTGTCTTCTGTTTATGAAGTCTGTTGTTGCAAATTGGTGATGTATATATATATATATCTGCACACACTTTCTCATCCTCTCCAGATTTGAAGCCGCTTCTTTCGTCTCCTTAATTTGTTATATGGAACAACATCAGTTCTTTGGATAGGAAACCTTACGAATCATAAAGGAAATGCCAAATTCGTATAATTATGCACCAGCTTGTGTATGTATAATCGTGGTCATAGTAAAAGTCACATGACACTTCTCTTAAGCTAAGAAATTAAATAATTCTTACGGATCTTTCAGCAGAAGGGCACATTGCTTTCAGATAATTAGTTGTTAATGTCACTGGTTAAATATAACTGTATAAATGAAATTCTGTTTCAAAGCTTGGGGCTTTCTCTTCGATTGGTATGCAAAATATTGGACGTTTCTTTCTTTTAGGATTTGATTTTTGGTGAAAGGCTATTTAAAACTTTTTAATTAGGCACCTTATTGGCTGCTAAAATTATGTGGAAGGCTTGTTTTTTGTTGGATCTCTTGAGTTGCGCTTACTCTTTTAATTAGGTTTCTTTATAAATAAGATTTATTTATTCTATAGGTAAGTCCAAAATAAAAATAAAAATATTATAATATTTAGATAAAGATTGATAATTTAAAAGTATTTGACCATCGGAAAGTTTGAGAAATATAATTGAGCGATCTTTTGAGTGTTACAAACATAGTTATATGACTTTTCTGTTACAAATAAAAAGAAACATGACTTTAATTTCAAATCGTTAAATAACCATTTAAATAATGTGCTTGAGCACATTTTTTTTTGCATATCTTTAGAGCGGTGACTTCACATTTTGCCGATATTGAGAAGAATGGAATCAAAGCAAAAAAGAAAACTGAAGGAAGAAAAAGAAACTAAAAACAATACTCCTATTAGAACAAAGCAAAAACTAAAATAAAGGATGATAGCTCGGTGTGATAAAGGTCATTTTCCTTTAGAAAGTTAAAGAAGAGGAAAGCAGAAAAGAAATATTCACTTCAACTTTTTATAGTACATTAAAATTAGACAACATGAGAAAGTTGTTTCTTTTATTTCTCTTGTTATGTCAAACAAGTAACAGAGTAAATTATGAATACTTTATGCGTAAAAATCAATAAATTAAATTCTCTCCTTCGTCTTACTCCGTTCCTTTGTGAAATCAGACATGGTGCACGAGAACGATAAGGTCAATACATAAGTGTATATAACCTATTTTTGTTATTTTTAATATTTGACTATTAGAAAATAAATAATTTAATAAATATAATGAGGTCTTTCACAAGCGTATGAAGCGTAGCAAATTTACTAATGTTTACATAATTAAGTGCACTATTTTTGGCTTTGTTGAGGACAAGAAAGAAATTGCATTGAAGACCTCTTGAAAACCCGAATGAAACAAATGGCCTTTAATTTTCTTTCACCACTATTTTTGGGCCCAAAAATTGCTAACACCAGATTGGGGCATTTGCAGCTGTACCCTATACTAGTGCCACATTTTAACTTGTACCTTATTTTTTAAAATTATTGATTTGGTAGCCAACTCACAAAAAATCGTAATAATATGACAATTACACCCCTGACAAAAGATATAAAACAATCTCTTCCTCTCCTCTCAGCAACTTTATAAAAAAATCAGAAACTTGTCCAGATTCATCTTCAGAATCACACTTGCATGAAATTGTTTCACCTTGAAGCTAAAACTTCATGCTAATGTAGCATGAAGTTGTTTCATGTTGAAGCTAAAACTTCATGCTAATATAGCATGAAATTGTTTCACATTGAAGTTAAAACTTCATGCTAATGCATGCTGAAGTTATTTATTCCGCAGTCTACCATTTTGTCATGAATTTTATCCGAAATTTCAGTCTAAACATGCTGAAATTATTTAGTTCATTTGCTAAAACTCCAGACTAAACATACTTAAGTTATTTAGTTCATTTGCTAAAACTTCAGACTAAACATTATTTAGTTCATTTGCTAAAATTTCAGACTAAACATGCTTAAGTTATTTAGTTCAGTTGCTAAAATTTGCTTAAGTTTTTTAGTTCATTTGCTAAAATTTCAGACTAAATATGCTTAAGTTTTTATTTTGTAGTATGTAATTTTCTAATGAGTTTTTGCTAATGCATGCTGAAGTTATTTAGTTCATTTGCTAAAATTTCAGACTAAACATGCTTAAGTTTTTGTCTTGCAGTATGTAATTTTATAAAGAGTTTTTGCTAATGCATACTGAAGTTATTTAGTTCATTTGCTAAAACTTTTTATCAAAACATGCTGAAGTTTTGTAACGCAGTCTACAGTTTTGTCATGAGTTTTATCCGAAACTTCAGTCTAAACAAGCTGAAGTTTTTTAGTTTATTTGCTAAAACTTTAGCCTAAACATGCTTAAGTTTTTTTCCTGCAGTTTGTCAATAGTCTTTTATTAAAGAAGGACAAAATCATCTTTTTAAAATGCTTTTAACAAAAAAAAAAGGGTACAGATGCAAACGGAAAAATAATACAGGTATAAGTTAAAAAGTTATGTAATTTTTATCACCAGATTTAGGGACTTAAGGTAGGGTTGAGAGCCGGTTTAACATTCGAAAAAGAGCCTAAAGTACCCCTGAAGTATTGAATTTGGTACAATAAATTCCTCATTCTACCTTTTTGAATAAAAAAGCACTTATCATTTATTTTCTGGATCAACTATGCCCTTATCTCTAACAACCTTCTATTAAATAATAAAAAAAATAATTTTAATCCATGTGTTATATTTCCATTGGCCCAACTTAAAATCCAGCCCTAATCTCCCGCCCCACCCGTAACCCGCCACATTACTGACCCGCCCGCCTCACGAATTCATTAAACCCAAACTAAACAACACCCGACCATATTCAGACAAAAAATATTTAACCCTACTGTCTAAGAGCGAAAATGGTTGGCGATTAAAGAGGGTGAAATCTGATTCAAGTCTTGGGATTCTCTGCAAGGAAATACTTTACACTTGAAGATTTCTACTCTTCTACTCTTTCAAGTAAGTTTAAACTATTATTTTGGTGAATAATTTAGGGTTTAGGATTTTTTTGAAATTTGCATTTTGTGTTGCTTTTCATGTATTTTCATATGCATTTTAGATTCTCTGTTTTCTTCCATGCTTTTGATGTCTTTTTTGTAGTCAATTTTGGGTTACATGTGGTCCATTTTCGTTTTTTCTTGTCTGAAGTTAGGGGTTTATTGTTGGTTGTGGCTGGTTAAATTATTAGTATGTGGTCCTACTTTTTGTCGATTCCAGTTATTTAATTTTAGTTTGTCGATTCCAGACTATACTTTATACGGTCTGTGGAATGTGTCATTGTTGTGTTACTTTTTATGAGTTTCCATGTGTTTTTTAGCTTCTTTGTTTTCTTCCATGCATCTAATGTCGTTTTTGTAGTTAAACTTTGGTTGCATGTGGTCCATTTTTGTTTGTCCTATGCAGAAGTTATGGTATACATTGTGGTTGGTGGCTAGTTAAATTATTGGGATGTGGGTCTTATTTTTTGTCCATTTTAGTTATTTAATTCATGTATGCTTTTGTTTTTATCTGTACTTTATTGGTATGGGTTCCTTTATTCTTATTGAAACTTTAATTTTCTATTTTGATATATCTAATGGATCCTTTTCCTTTTCTTTTAAGGCTTGCATTTGTCTTTTTGAAGAATGAATCACAAGGTGGACTTGGTATTTAACTATAGGGGCAAGTGGGTTTTGAAACCTCAAGTTTTATATATTAAGAAACTGAGTCATGTACTGCAAGACTATGATGTGGATTTACTGTCTTATATAGATATATATTCATAATACACTGAAAATTGTGGGTTTAGTAAGGTGGAACAACTGCTAGTCATTGGACCTTCTGGTAGGTACTTCATAGTTGAAGGTGACTCAGGAATTAGGACAATACAGTCTTTACTATCAAATAACTTTTTGTGTGCTTCAACTATTTGCTATTAATGAGGGTGAGGTACATGTCATAGTTCCTAGCATCATTCACTATAATGAACCCTATAATGTCTCTGTAGATGTTGGTACTGATTGTGAGTCTTCTAAAGATGATGAACCTTATGCTTATGTGATTAACTCTAGTGATTATGATACTCATGAGTTGGATCTATTTAGAAAGGAAAGGACTAGGGAAGTCAATGATAAATTGGACAAGTATAAGGAGTTGGAGATGGGTATGAGCTTTAAAGATTTAGCTGAAGCTAAAAGAGTGGTTGGCTACTATGCTGTTGTTAATAATAAGGGACTTAGAGTTGAGAAGAGTGACACTGGTAGAGTTAGATATAGTTGTGATGTTGGATGTCCTTTTGTGTGCTTGATATCAAGGGATAATAGAGCTCAAGGTTTTAAAATCAAGACTCTAAAAAGTAAGCATAATTGTGTTCCAGCATATAAGAATAGAAGAGCTACTCCACAAGCATTGGCATACTACTTCAAGAATAAAGTACAAAACAATCCTAAGTATAAAGTGAAAGAAATGAGGGTTGACCTGGAGGATATATTCAGCCTTAATATTAGTTATTCAAAGATGAAGAGGGTTAAAAGACTTGTCTTAGAGAAATTAGAGGGTAGCTACATTGATGATTACAATAGGCTAGAGGCCTATGCTCAAGAATTGAGGGACAGTAACCCAGGATCTGATGTGATTATAAATATCTCTAAAGATGCTTTGGCAGAAGGAAAAAGAAGATTTCTTAGAATGTATGTGTGCTTCCAAGCTTTGAAGAGTGGCTGGAAAGCTGGTTTGAGACCCTTAATAGATCTGGATGGCACATTTTTGAAAGAGAAGTGCAGGAGAATTCTAATGGTTGCTATGGCTCAAGATTCAGTGAAACACTTTTACCCACTTGCTTGGGCAGTGGTGGATAGAGAAACATCTAGAATATGAAAGTGGTTTATGGAGCTATTGAGATCTTCATTAGAGCTGGGAGATGGTGAAGGAGTGACATTTATGTCAGATATGCAGAAGGTACTTCTAATTTTTATTATTCATTTCCAATGTTAAGTTTACATTATGTATTAATAAACTTTCTTTAATATTGCAGGGTTTTTTGGATGCTGTATCTACTGTGGTACCTAAATCACATCATAGATGGTGTGTTAGGCATCTTGAAGCTAATTGGAGCAAGAATTGGAGGGGTGTAGAGATAAAAAATTGCTATGGTGGTATGCTTGGAGCACTTATGAAGAAGAATTCAAAGATCATTTGAAGACAATGGGTGATATTAATAAAAATGCTGCTAAAAATCTCATATGGTACCCACCCAAAACTAGTGTAGGGCTTACTTTGATACCACATGCAAGAACTACATGGTTGATAACAACTTTACAGAATCATTCAACAAATAGATTCTTGAGGCTAGACAAAAGCCTATTATCAAGATGTTGGAAGATATTAGAGTGAAGGTAAATTTCTAAGAGCCTTTTACTTCATTGTTTCTAAAGCAGAATCATTCCCCTTTTTCCTAATGTGGTACCACTATTTGACTATGATTTTTTCTTGTTTGGAAGGTCATGACTATGTTGAAAGATCGTGAAGAGGAATGTAGAACTTGGAGAGGAGAATTTAGTCCTTATGCCATGGAGTTGCTGAATGATTTCACACAGAATATACAAGGGTGTGAAGTTGTTTTTAATGGAGACAATGGATATGAAGTTGTTAAAGGTACAGACAGGTATACAGTCAATCTTCTACTTAAGAAGTGTACATGTAGGACATGGGACTTATCAGGAATACCATGTCCTCATGCCATCAAAACTTTAGATAATAACAAAGAAGATCTATTGAGTGAAGTGCATTGGTGGTATTCAAAGAAAGCCTATATGTTGGTGTACATGCATAAACTATAACCAGTAAGAGGTGATAAATTCTGGAAATTTGAGCCAACACATGCAATGGATCCACCAGAAGTACATAGAATGGTTGGTAGGCCAAAAGTAAAGAGAAAGAGAGAAAACGATGAGGCAAGAAAGAGAGAAGGAGTTTGGTCAGCTTCAAGAAAGGGGCTTGTGATGACATGTGGGCACTGTGGCAATAGAAATTACAATATCAGAAAAGGTCCTTTGGTAAGTACAATATTCTTTTTAACTGTCTTAACAATCTTTTTACTGCTATATTCTCCCTGTCCTAACAGTCTTCTTACTGCTATTGTAGGTTGGGGGATGTTCTCATGATGTGCAAGATGTGCCTCAGATAACACCTCAGGACAGTCAAAATTCAGAGTATGCATTTATGCCTACTCCTGGACTGAGGATGTTTACTAGTCCAGTCCATGAATCAACTCAAGCATCATCCTCTATTTTACCAGAAAACAAGCAGAGAAAAAAGTCTGTTGTACCTAAAGTCTGCTATCAACAGTTTGATGTATCCCAAGGAACACTTCAACAGTCTGTTGCATCTCAAGACATACTTTAACAGTTTGCTCCATATTTAGATATTGCTGATGATGAAAGTGAATATGAAAATGGAGATGAAGATGATGAAGAGCCAATTCTGAGGCCTAAAGTAATATCTTAAGCTAAGACTAGGCTTCAACAAAAGAAGTTGTTACAAAAACCAACTGGAATTAGAAAGATCAACTTTAAAGGAGATGAGACTGGTGCGAATATACCTACTAACTTGCCATATTCCCCAAAGAAAGTTACTTGAAAAGACAAAACAGCAATGACCTCTAACCAGTTGGTGACAGAAAAGGAAAACAGAGTTGGTAAATTGAAGGCTAAGAAGGCCAAGTGTTAGAGAAGATTATAATGATTTTTTTGTAATGACTGATTCAAGTACTAGTATTTTGCTTTTTTTTTGGTGAATCAGTTGGGGAAATTGCTGTATTGATTCACCCGAAAAAATCTTTTGTTGTGCTTAATGTAGGGTGAAACACTATGTTGACAGTTTAGTTATATTTATGGTTTGGTATTTAGTTATCTTTTGGTGGTATTTATGACAGAGCAGTTTTAGTTATGCTTATGATTCAAGAAGTAGTGCAGGCATTCAATTATGGTTTGGTGTTTATGGTTTGGTATTCAAGAGTATGAACAGATTTGTTTGGATGCAGTGGTGAACAATCACAGTGCTATTCATATCTTTGTCGTCTCCCATTTTGAGCAACAAAACGACCAGTTAGTCCAAATAGTTTTATGATAGAGGGACTATTGTGTTACCTTCAACACTAACAGTTAACAAACTACTTCATGTTACATAAAAACTGCAGGACCATAAATTAACAAACAATTAACCAACACTACATGTTACATAAAAACTACATATTACATTAACCACTTCAACACTAATAGTTAAAACTCCAACTATTATGGAGTACATTACATAAAAATTGTATATTACATTAAACAATGTTAGCACTAATCCGCAAACTAGCTAGAAATATTAATCTGCAAATTACCTATTAACCAACGTTAATAACCAACGCAACAATAACTACTTGACATAAAGTAAAGTAGAAAGACACAAAATCTTCAAATACTTCTCAATCCATCATCTTCACCGCGGCAAAAAACACAAAAGTAGCCCATGACCATAGCAATACTCTTCTCAATTGATTAACTTTTAATTCTAAATTGGAACCTTTCTCATTCAAGGCAGATACTTTGTTCAAATCTGCAGCTTTGCTACGAACCATATCAGCCACAGTCTACTTCAACTTGTTCCTTTCTTGACGAAGGGCATCTAATGAATTTTTTTGATTATGGATAAACATTGACACATGAGGCAGAAATTATTCATCGCGCCATTCCCAATAACGACAACCGTTCTTCTGAGAATGACAATATTTGTAGAATCTACGATCACCATTCATAGGTATCGTAGCAGTAAAATGGTTGGAAATTAATCCGCAATAACATATACGGGAATCACCTTGATCAAGAGAAGAGGCAGAAGAAGATTCGAACATTTTAACCAACAGGAAGAATAGTTATGAATGTAAATTCAAAAAGAAGAAACAAACTTGGGANGATTAAAATTATTTTTTTATTTAATAAAAGACTGTTAGAAATAAGGGCATCGTTGATCGAGAAAATAAACAATAAGTGCTTTTTTATTCAAAAAGGTGGAAGGAGGACTTTATTATACCAAATTCAATACTTTAGGGGTTAGGCCCTTTTCCATTTAACACTTTAAAGAGTTATGGGCAAGTTAACATAAAATGTGCATCATCTCTCTCCCTCCCTCTTTCTTTCTCTCTCTCCTCTCAAGAATTCATCGTTGACCCACTTCATTACGCCAATTTTGTCTTTTCTAGTGGCGGTTTTCGGACCAAAATCAGGCCACGATTGACTCTCTCTTATCTATATTGACCCTTTAACATTGTGTATTTGTTCCTAATTCGATAATTTTGGGTATATTATTTATTTCTCTTTTTCTTTTCTTAAGTTGTGATTATCTCTTATGAAGAATGATTTTTCTTTAGAATGAAGTACATGTGTCGTTGCTATTTATATTTGGTTGTGTACAACCAGATATTATATGGCCAGGGTGGTTATTGTTTCAAATTCAACTACATTTGAGCTTTGTTTGCCGGAACTGGAGTTTGTTTTTTTATTCCAAGTTTATGTTTTAAATTGTTAACTGTGACATTAACATTTTAGGTTTTTGAACTGTGATATTGGTTTATGTGAAAATTCCTCTTTTGTTTTTTCTTAAAAATCTTTGTGATTTTGGAAGTGAAATGCATGTGGATCTGCTATTTGTAATTAGTTTTATAAAACCAAATCTTCAATGGAAAGGGTAGATACTGTTTCCAATTGATCTACTGTCACGACTCAAATCCCACCATAGGGATCATGATGACACATATCCTTCAAGATTAAGTAAGCCAATCACTTAACAAAATTAAATCAATAAAACGTGATATAATAAGACAAAACTTAATATAAAAGCAGAAATAGAGGTAACACAAGCTAACATAGCAATACCCAACACAACTTCCGAGAACTAGGGAGTATAGAGTCATGAGATCTAACTGAATATATAAGGGTGTCTCAAAATATAATATTGTTCGGATATGAAATAACAGTATCAATATAAGGATGGGACTCCAAGAGACTGCGACGATCATGCTGCTCTGCCTTGAATCCTCGCGACCAGTGTAAGCACTCACTCTCTACAAGGATAATTCCCTCTTACAAGGTTAGGCTAGAGACATACCTCGTTTTCAAGTTCTTTTCCCGGTCTGCAATTCAAACAAAAGCCTCAAGTCGGTGCCACGCAATTCGAAAATAGCCAAATGTTGCATAAATTAATCACTATATGCTCAAAAATTTATATTTTAACTATTAGAGTAATTACCCAACCCAAATTGGAAGATTCCTAAAATTTACCCCCGTGCCCACGTGTCCGAATCCGGAAATTTTGTAAATAAAAGTTACCCATAACCTCACGAACCCAAACATATAATTTCTACTCAATTCCATAATCATTTTCGTGGTCTAATCCCGTTTTTTATCAAAACCTAAATTTTTCAACAAACTCCTAAAATTTTCATATTGTACATGTAAATATCTACCCATAATCTATGTATTAAACTCACATTGGGTAGAAAGTACTTACCTTCAATAGCTAGGTGAAAACCCCTCTCCAAGAAGCTCCAAAATCGGCCAAGGGAAATGAAAATGAGAGAAAATGGCCTACGTCCCATTTTTAAAATAAGTCTCTGCCCAGACATTCCTTCTTCGCGATCACGAAACGAGCTCCCGCAATCGCGAAGGTAAAATTCTGCCACACCCAGAAAATGTTTTTCGCGAACGCGACAAGAGCCTTGTGAATGCGAAGGCTTTCCTGGCCTTCCCTATGCGAACGCGAGGGCTTCTTCGCGAACACGAATACCAACAGTGTTCCATCCTAGCCCCAACTTCTTCTACGCGAACGCGGGCCCTTTCACGCGACGCGAAGGCCACATGTCCCAGACCTTTGCGAACGCGGACTGGGTATCGCAAACGCGAAGAAATATTTTCTAGTCCCCCAAATTCCTTCTCCGCGAACGCGACACAACCTCCGCGATCGTGAAGAAGGAAACTAGAACCAATAGTGACAGATTTTTGGACTTAGCTCCCGGTGGTCCGAAACTCACCTGAGCTACCCGGGACCGTCCAATTACATCACCAAGCCCATAAATATAATACGGACCTGCTCAAACCCTCGGAACGCGTAAACAATATCAAAACTAAGAATCGCATTCCAAAACCAAATTGAATCAATTTATGAATTTCAAGCTTTTCAACTTACTTCGAACGCGCCGAATCATACTTAGACTACTAGGAATGACACCAAATTTTGCATACAATTCATAAATCACTATAAGAAACTATTCCTAGGCTCGGAATCCCAAATGGACCTCGATAACACAAAAGTCTACTCCAAACCAATTTTAAAGAACTTGAAAACCTTCAATGCGCCAACTTTTAACATTAAGCGCCAAAACGCTCCCGGATTATTCGAAATCCGATCCGAACACACGCCCAAGTCCAAAATAATCATACAAACCTATTGGAACCATCAAATCCCGGTTCCAAGGTCATTTACTAAGAACGTTGACTCAAGTCATACTTAGCTATCATAGGCCACTATTAAAGAACCAAGTGTTCCGATTTCAACTCGAACCCTTCCAAAACCAGGTCAACCACCCCCGCAAGTCATAACCATAAAAGCACCTACAGTGAGTCTTAATTAGGGGAACGAGGATCTAGAAAGCAAAATGACCGGTCGGGTTGTTACATTCTCCACCTCTTAAATAAATGTTTGTCCTCGAACGAGTCTAGAATCATACCTGGAGTGCTGAATAGGTGTGGATATCTGCTCCGCATGTCCTCCTCGATCTCCCAAATCGCTTCCTCGACTGGTTGACCCCTCCATTGGACCTTTTGCCGCAGAAATATTCTTGGATATTAATTGGCAAACCTGCATGTCAATAATGGTAAGTGGCTCCTCCTCATAACCCAAACTCTCATCTAGCTGAACCGTGCTGTAATTTAACACATGTGACCTGTTGGCATGTTACCTCCTGAGCATAGTCAAATGGAAGACCGGATGAACTCCCGATAGATTGGGAGGCAAAGTAAGCTCATAAGAAACCTCCCCAAATCGCCTTAATACCTCAAATGGGCTAATAAATCTTGGGCTCAGCTTGCCCATCTTCCCGTACCTCATGATTCCATTCATCGGCGAGACTTTCAAGAGAACCTTCTCGCCTATCATAAATGATAAATCATGCGCCTTCTGATTTGCGTAACTCTTCTGTCTAGACTGTGCTGTGCGGAGTCGCTCCTGAATCAACTTTACCTTCTCCAAGGCATCCTTCACTAAATCAGTTCCATATAACCTAGCCTTGCTGGGCTCAAACCATCCGATGGGCGACAACATAGCCGACCATATAAGTCCTCAAATGGATCCATCTCAATGCTGGACTGATAACTGTTGTTATAAGCAAACTCGGCTAATGGTAAGAATCGATCAAACTGCCCTCCGAAGTCAATCGCACATGCTCTGAGCATATCCTCCAGGATCTGAACTGTCCGCTCCAATTGCCCGTCGGTCTGCGGATAAAAGGCTGTGCTAAGCTCTACTCGGGTACCCAACTCGCTCTATATTGCTCTCCAGAAATGCGAAGCGAATTGAGGGTCCGCATTTGAAATGATGGAAACGGGCACACCATGCAACTGGATAATCTCCTGAATGTAAATCTGGGCCAACCTTTCTGAAGAGTACGTAGTCATTACTGGAATAAAGTGTGCCGACTTGGTCAGCTTGTCGACAATGACCCAAACAACATCAAATTTCCTCAACGTCCGCGTCAACCCAACTACAAAATCTATAGTGATGGGATCCCATTTCTACTCCGGTATAACCATCTTCTGAAGTAGACCACCTGGCCTCTGGTGCTCATACTTAACCTGCTGGAAATTTAGGCATCTCGCTA